CAGTAAAACAGTCCAATTACACTTTTATTTCACAAACAACACTCGCGTATTGTTATTCAGCGCGTAGGTTGGCGGCACTGTGTGATGGGGGAGGGGTTTCAAAGCGGACAAAAGCTGGGGCAATTAAATCCAACAAGCATAAGCTAATTGTCGTCGTTCGAAATTACTCCAAACCCGGGCATAATCGAGTCAGCCCTCACCCCACGCCGTGACGAATAGCGTTATCTCTTAAAATGATAATAGACTAGAGACTGTTGTAGGGTGGCACCGCTGTACAAGGGTTCATGTGTCCTGTACAAACAATATCAGTGATGTAACTTGGTGGAGATAGGGATAAAAGTTTAATTGTAAGAAAACTATTTATGTTGAATTGTTTCGATGTTGTTTGCTGAGGTTTTAAGCATATTAAGAATTTAATTTTTTAATATTTTTTAAGATTTGCCGTCACACATAGCCATCTCGTCACACCATTAGGGTGTATTTTTACGGTAAAGCAAAAATACCCCCGCCAAAGCATACCTGCCGACTAAGCGCATTTCCATTTGTCTGGACTCATTTTCGATCAAATCTATTTAAATAACGTTAGGTTAAACGAGTACCTAGGTTTGCTGCTACAAGGAAACTAATTAAGCGAGTTTTTTAGTAAAATATTAATAGCTTAGTATAAAATAAATGAATTGGCCAAGTTTAATCCAAATATATCAATAAACAAGCAAACTACATCATTTTACAATATTCTCCATAAGAATAACATGGAAATTTTAAATTTACAATTTTTGGAAGTTTCTCTGTTACCAATAACCGTACAAAAACACTTTGATATACTAAATTATTTGTTTTTTTAAGCTCTTTAACAAGGTCTAGAGAGAAATTGAGAAATTTTGTGTTTTGAGGGTCAAAAATGAGAAAACCCATTTTTTACCCCATAAAAGCCCCCGTAAAACACTGTTCCCATGGTCCGATCATGCTGGTTCGCGAACTCATTCAAGTTTATCCCGCCTTACACCTTCAAACCAAATTTCAACAAAATCGGACAAAAATTACTCAAGTTATCGCGTTCACGGACGTATATATATATAAATCTATATATATATATAAATCTATATATATATATAAATCTATATATATATATATATATATATATATATATATACTTATATAAAAATTTGAACGAATAGTTATTTGGCCTCTGGGGACATCAAAATGAAAAAGTAAATCGGTCCCGGGCCTAGGTCTTACCGTGCCACCTACGGTAATAGCTACTTCCCTATAGGGAAATTCGCTAAAAAAGGGTTGAATGTATGAGACAACAGCTAGATAATTGGCGATACTGTATTGAAATTTCACAATAATATAGGCAAGGGACCTGCCTAAGGATCAAAATAGGCAATATTCTGATTTTTTATAATGCTAAACATCAACAGATAAATTACTATATTTGTAGATAGTTAATAGTAATAATAGTTTGGATTACAGAATTCGAGGGCATGGGTCCGTTTTGATTGCCGAGTGGGTAAAAAGCCTTCAAATCTGTATTCGGTTTTGGACGCAGATTCCATTTTGTGATTTTATCCATTTTCATTTACTATGCAAATAAAACATGACTAAACCGAGTCGTGTTTTTTACCCTTGTAAAAAACGCAAACAATACAAAAAGCGTAGATATTTACAAAAAAATCTTTCTTAACAGACACTGTAAAACCTTTATCATTTTACCCGAGTTCAATTTTCGTCTGAGCATCTATTCAAACCAAACACTCGACCTGTAACCTGATGACGAAGTGAAAGCTGCAGAATCAATAATGGAAGGTTGAGAACAGTTTCTGGTTGGTTTAGAAGAGGTTGTGGCTGTCTGTAACAATTTGGCTTGGCAAGCGCCCCAAATGGAGCTGTTCCCGGGGGATTGGCGCTAGTAACGCGGTTAAATCGCTCAAACGCACCACTCCGGCTGTGATCTCAGATATCGATAGATCGCATCGCATCCAGCGATCAGCCTGGCTAAACACCGGTGATAGCATTGCTCTTTGAACCTTCGCCAAGATTTTGGACAGATTTGGTTTTGATCATGCGAGCGCAAATGGCTTGTGTAGGTGGAAGTTTACAATGGCAAAATTTTAAATAATTAAAAATATAAATAACATAAATCCTTTATGCTCCAGTGTAGAAAAGTTTAGCTTACAGGCTCAAGATTTATGTATATTGCATCGTATTTAGAGGTATTTACGTTCCCCGTTCCGTTTGAATACCTAATCGAAAGAAGTATTATTGGCTACAGTTATTTGCAAGGACATTCTGGATTGTACTGTATACGCTATAAGAAGTGAATAGCTAGCTTTTAGTCATTTATAAAGTGTTTATAGTTAGATTAAATGTTATTTAACTTGGCTAATACTGTTTTTTTTAATGTATCCAGAACACGGAATTGATGGATTGTATATCATTTTACATTTCATTTATAGGTTTTTTTTTCAAACGTTCGTAAGAAAGTAACATTTTCATATATTGTTCAACTAAACAAGAGAGGTTTTGAAAAGCAATATTGTTTCTAGAAAACGAATGCTCAATGCAGATCTTGGTAAATTCGTTATGTTTATTAAAACTGTAGTTGTAGTCTCTAAATGGGACTAATGAATTGAAGTGAAGTTATTTAGTGAAAATGAAATCTCTGTACTGTACATTAAAACCCCATTTTAGGCCCCACACCATACTCACAACATTGTATCTGAAAGGGGTTTTTATACGGCACATTTATCATGTTACATGTTATTTTTCGAACTGGTACGTGTTATTAAAAAAACCATTCCAATTTCCACCTAAATATCCTATTACACAAGAACCTATCAATAATAATAACACCTACTGAATGTTATATAAGCACACACAAACTGTTTATAGACAAAGGGTAATCTAAACGGAACGCCACAAGGCTCCGTACTGGAGCCGCCGTTGTCAACTTCGCTCTCTCTCTTTCTCTCTGCTCCATTGTTTATTTATCTCCTGTATTTGCCGCCATGTTGCCCCGCCCCCTCCCACCCCACTGCTCTCTCTGTCGCACCCATGTACTAATCCAATCACAACATTTGACGACATATCACATAAGCCGTTATGTCACCTTTTCTCTTCTAATATTCTCTGTCGGCGACAAAGCTGCTTGTATTATTGTCGTTGACGATTGGGTTTCTCGCTTTATTAATTTCCGGGCTGTTACTTCTTATTGTTGTTTCCTCCGTCGTTTTGTACTGAATTGATTCTGAAGCATTATTGGCCAAGTCTTTTGTCTGGAGGTGTAACAAATGTAGGAGATGGATTTCCTTATAATTTGAGAACTAACTTTGTAGATTACACTGTATCCAGGTTTCAATAATCATTTTAAATCAGTATAAATATAGGCTGTCCAATTTAATGAACTAATTAATTTAACTTTATGATAACATTTTTAATAAAAATGTTACATAGCAATCGAATGTGGTTTTCACCATGCATTGATGCTATCACGATTGCTAATCAATTGAATCTCCATAAAGCTGTATACAATCAATATAATCCCAAATATTCTGAAGACTTGTTAGTGATTTACATAATATCAATGTACACAAAGTCATGCGCAACTTTTGAACTTGTAACACCATCTAATATCACACATTGTTGAATAAGACAACTGCTAAGTAGTAGAATTTCTATTTAAATGTTTAACCATAATTGGAAAAACTAAAATTTAGTCACCCCTAAAAATATTCTTCATATTTGGAAACCATAATACAAAATAACACTACAAACATGAAACTACTCATCCAGCAGCTTTAAGTAATTGTGCTAGTAAGAAAATAAAATCACGAACATATTAAAAACCAATTAGATTTTTCAACGATAAAACATCACAACATGTAAACCCCCAATAACATCGTTAACACCTCAGAACAAACACAATCGTGATTTTCTCTGCAAAACAATCACACGGCGAGTAAGGGAACCATTTCAGGTCATTTCCATTTTTGATCGTTCCGAGAGCGGATACATCCGCAAATTGTTGTTTTTTCAACAAAAGTTCTCGTATTGACCGGCCCCCTCCCCCTCCCCCTCTGATGGACCTAAAAGCTTCTCAAACTGATTCACTTTACGGACTCAATCCCAATCTTGTTTCGCTCTCCCTTTGTAGACATGCTCGATATTCAGACAGTTTTATAGTCATGTATAAACGCGCCGAGGCGCCCGTCCCCCCCTTGGGCTTTGTAGACGCCAAATTCTCCGCGCCCATTGTCGAGAAGACCACTTTTCTCCAAAGCTTTGGAAAACATTCCAATTTGCATGTTTGAAAGTTTTCAAACACTCTTGGGATTTCTTGAGAATTTTATCGGGGCAAATCTGCGATGTGGTTTCTCAGTGTAATCATACGGTATTGTTATTTCAATAAATATATATGTAGTGATTGTTAATGTTTTTATTTTCTAAAACTTCGATAGAATCCATAATTATTTGATGCATTTATTGTTAAAGTGTTTAATTTTTAATGTTAGTATGTACCAACAATCAATTGTTTAACGATTCGCAAGTTAAGAGATGGTTATTATTTGCTCAGATATATTGTTATAAGTCTAAACCTCAAAATAATCCAACAGTTAGGTCTACTAAAAAAGGAAAAAAAGTATTCCCATGAAATATGTATAAGAAAACAGTATGTATCCACACAGCATGTTAAGAAAACTGGGAATGCAAGTTTGAATAATACGCCGGATGGTCATTGCTTTTTCAAGTGCGGTCAACTGCATCCAGTATCTTTATCTTATCACTAACATAACCTAACTTATTCACCTATGTTACTAACTCATACCAGAACAATTACTTCCCTATCTTTACATCATTGTAGAGATCAGCAGTTCCATGGCAAAGGCTTTTAACATTAACATGACAAATATCAATTTGAAAGTGAAATGTACTGTTTTACAGATTTTCTGTCTCTGGATTCCGGAATATTTGTTGACTCTTGGTTCACCGTGTTACAGGTCACAAAGACGACGTGCAGGACGGCTCTAGAGGCTCCAGTCACTCAGGGCTGAGCAAGAAGCAACGCAAGGCGAGGACGGCGTTCACAGACCATCAGCTGCAGACGCTGGAGAAGAGCTTCGAAAGACAGAAATACCTGAGTGTACAAGACCGCATGGAACTGGCGGCCAAGCTGAGTCTGTCCGACACCCAGGTCAAGACCTGGTACCAGAACAGGAGGTAGGTCCGAGGGAACTATAGCTGTAGCAGTAGAACAAATATTGAAGAAGGGATAATAGGGAGTAGGTTGATGTGTAAATCGTTTCTAAGGGAGGTATCCAGGTACCACCTGGTAGGTATAGTACCAGAACAGGAGACCGGTCTATAGAAACTTCATTTGTTGAATTAGGAGACCCTGGTCGAGGAAGGAGAGAATGTCTAGTGAATAATGTTAAGTTTTGTAGTAGGTATTCAAAGAAATATTGAATGACAATGGGGTAGGCCCATACGCGTAAGATTTCTTCCATGTAGAATTTGTGGGGATTTAAAGAATCCAGTCAATATTTTTCCTCTTAAGTTATTTGCTTATCCTCTTCAGATTTTCTATCTCACAAAACATAGGTAATTTCTAACCCTTCGCAGCTATATGTACTTAAAAATCACAGAACTACAGCAAGATTATGGCTACATCGAAATTAACAATTCTCTTAATTCGGATCAGTATATTTATATGAATTACTACATAACTAACTCACAGGTAATCACAAAACGTAATCTATTCGTTAGATTCAATATATTTGACTTGAACCAAGCTAGACTGCCGAGTATCGTGTAGCTTGTTGTGCCATTACTCGTCCCCGCCTCACTACCACTGGCCGTCGTCGTTTCTTGGCTCATCGACTGCCAGCTTATTTGCAATTACAAATGAGTGCTCACTTTCCCTCTCTTCCACACTTCATTAAACCTTCAAATGATTCTTCCAAGGATTTCTCTTACACGTACTTTTAATTTTTATTGGTACCTTCGTAGAATCGTATCCTGTTCACTGGAAGATTAATTTTTCAATCTGTTGACTGTGTATTTTATCACGGATAGATTAAATTGAAAGTTAATATCACATATTAAAGCGACTTTTAGTGCATTATTAGCGACGATACTTAAGTTAACTCCACGAAAGACTGTACTTATAAATGCTCCCTCACACATTGCTTTTAAATTAGCGTCATTTCCGTTTTTGCTGTTATCACATGTAATTGTGCTTCATACACGCGAGGTTCACATCATGCAAGTCACCGTTTACCCTGTATCACTGTGTGTATTAGCTTGTTTACGTGTGAATATCCTCAACAACATTTGCAAAGTAGATCATGTCACTGCACCACAGAAAATCTTACTTTGCAATTGAAAAAGTTGATGCACACTACTTTACACATTTGGTTGAGGTGAAAAATGCTATTTTAACTAAGCCAGAGAGGGAAAATTAAACCATAGACTACTGTAGTATTTTTTATCAATGTTAAACCCAAAATACAACAGAAATGAACTAATGCATTTTAAAATTAGCCAAATGAAGCCACTACACCTTCGACTATTATTTTATGCGCCATTGCAGAGTTGATAAAAGAAATAAAACGTGCTCAAGACAAGAGTGTAATTTTGAAAAGGAACACTACCATTACGATACCTATTCGAGGTATTTGTTGAAGTCAACCAACAAATTTGAGTACGGTATTGAAATTTTCCAACAACCTGAAGTTTTCTTCCGAACCAGGTCCCTCCAACACTAATTTAGAGAAGGCCAGGCCCATAACACCCCTTTGAAATTATGAGTTTCGTATTACTGTGGTAGCAGACTCTCAAGCAGACAAGTGGAAAGCTTTGTCCTTGTCCTCAGCCACACAGTAGTGCACATGGTACAATGAAGGCGTAGCGGAGATGATTATCCATTTTTCCTCTTCTGTGAACAAACAATGCAGAGTGCGTTGACTCCAAACAAAACACCGGCAGTTTTCCTCTCCTCCATGCATGACAGTAGTGTCACTTGAACCTGTCGAGGGAAGAGTAAATATTGTTTCAACAAACAGTAACAACCGGTTTCCAACCGCCAAAGTTAGTGGCAGTACAATATCAATATTTCCAAAAGGAACTGGTAGAGGGCTTGAAACAATGATTAACTGGCGTCGAAGTCTTCATAAAATATAACTTATATTTGCGAACAGAACGAGAACCGCAATAAAACAAGTCCATGCGATGAAAATAAGGAGATGATCGTCAATTAGAGATTCCCTCAGGCTGCGGCTACTGGGGCTATAATTGCAGTTTATGAAAGCGGCAGAGTCGGTCGGACGCTGTCATTGGTCCTTAGTGGCAATCAGCTGAGACATTAAAGCCAATCAAACTCCAGCGTTTACGCGGGAATAATTGCCAGCTGTAGTTGCAGTCAAATGCCGCACCCTCTTGCAACTGTCCTCGCGCCTTGAGCTAAGAAACTGGTTTGAAGATTTCTCCTCTCTTGATTGGATACTCTGACTGCCAGCTATACTAATTACTTGATTCGAACGATTTATGTCTTGATTTCTCGGTTTCTGGATATTAACAGCATATATTTTTGCCAATACGATTTTGCATGGATATTAGTGTCTATTGCTCTAAATTGAGATGGACGGTTGCTTGCTGATGAAGTATTCTGATGAGCACCTTTTTTGCACTCTATGCAAGACCAGGAATTGGAAAGACTGCATCTAAAATTTGAGTAATTGGCCGAAGGGCAGTGCAATTGCAACACCCAACACTCTTGATATCCTTTGGCCGTACTGTGGCAACACGGCTATTCTCCATAGGCATCCTGAGGTCGGCCGCAGGCGCGCTGTGACAATGTGGCCGATCGGGTGTGTAATAGCGGCCTCAAACAGACTAGCCCGTGGACAATCGATTGTGCCAGCAATTAATCGAAGTCATCTTGCCTAAACAGAGGCCGGCCTTGGGTATAATGACATCCTGCGCGACATCATTCCACGCTTCCGACCAAATTACTCCGCTTATCGGATATTACAGCTTTACCCACTCATTCTATCCTAGAACATCAAAATTACATCAAAGGTTACGTTTAGAAATTCAAAACAGCTTCGACTTGCATTATCTGAATGTTTAATTTGTATAAGATATACAACGAATGCTACACAAATCTATTGAAAGTAATTGCCTCATCTACAACAGTTTTTTTTTTCATTCCTCATATACACTTACCAAGCCATCATGTATTTTTTCAGAAATCAGAAACTTTTTACTGCCGTAATTTGCAAGGTACATGCATATGACAAAGTCAACAATGAGGTTCAAGATTAACCAAGAAAATAAAACTAGATAAAACATAAATAGACAAAACATTTGTCTGGGCAGTCACAATAGTTCAAAAAATAAAAAATCTAGCTATGCAAGCATCAAGCCTATCATAAACAATGACAGTATAAAAGGTCAACAATTGTTCATACAGATCATATGGTCATACTCAACATGCAAATAAATAGAGACTTACAGGCATTGAGTTATACCAACTGAATTTAATGTATGAGGCTAAAAGTTATTTTTCATCAGATGAAATAATGAAGACTTGAGTTCTGTAAAGGGATGATGAAACATAAGATTCCTATCCTCTGTTCCCAGGAAATTGTCTCTTTACGTTTTGTCAGATAGGGACACGCAAAGTCAAACGAACCCTCTTCAGATTTTCCCACTCAAAATTCTTAATACCTGAGGAACTCTTAAAAAGTTTCCGTGCTTTATTTTATAGATTTTATTTATCTATGTTACTGTCATACATTGCCATTTTGAAGTGAAACCCTGGATCATTTCCTTGAGAAAGAACATATAAGAGCACTTCATACCTCATACCTCATTCTGATTCTGATTCATAATGGGTCGTAGCCACCTGTATAAAGATACAAGATCTGTCTTGTGTAAGGGTACAACACGTGGCTACACCTACGCCGTATTTTTTTCACGGACGTTTTTGTATTGCTGGGATATACTGAGCCAGACCAATCCAAAATCAATTCGAAAATCGGTGTCATACAATGCACGTAATATCTTTCACATATTTTCCTTACATATTCACTTTTTCCATCAACCGAGGCAGTATTTTAGTTTCTTCACATATCCAAATTTCCAGATAGCCCGGGTGGCCGGGTGTGAACGTGAGGGTGTATCCAAGAGCGGTGAACCGACAAACTGTACATTCAATAATGAAAAATAGTGACTCAGCGTCGGCCTGGGAAGTGGTCCCTAATTCGCCACATTGTTCTTGCACTTCACACTTCACACACTATGTTTGGCTACACCGCTCGCGCCTGATGCGGTGATCATTAATATGCTTGCGTCCAGGGGAGCTTACTGCTCTCGTGGGAAAAGTGACAGCGTACACAAATATTGTGATCAACGAAAAATGGAGCTAAATTTTAATGATAATTTAAGTAACAAGACGTGTAAAAAGCTGGACTAATCGATATTCCTCTTTTGCATTCTTGATTATGAAATTGTAATATGTATGAATGAAGTTTGACTTGGGCTTGTGAAAAGGCATTCTCGATCAAGTATTTTACAGCCTTTCTTCGAATACACGTATTCTGTAATTTAATTATTGGGAGTGCATGGTAAATTACTTCGAAAATTTGATTGAAACTGATGTTGATTGCAACAATTTTCATCCAGTTCATCCATTGAGATCGGATGATCTCAGAAAATGGCTCTGAATTTATTACCTCAAAGAAAGTAAAAAATGAATATAGTATATTTATATAAACTGTGAAGATCCTACATTTAATTATCCCATTACATCTTGAATCCTGGAGCAACTAAATGATTATTTTTCAAATATTCCTTACTCTAAAATATACAAAGAAGTTAATTACAAAATTATATTTAACAGCTTTAAAGTAGTTATAAGTTAAAAGAATACTAGAGTTCTTCACTCTTGAGTAATGGATATTCTAAATATTGAATATTTAAGTAAATAAGTACAACTGAGCACCCTGAATATTATATTTTATAAACATAATATTCAGGGTGCTCAGTTGTACTTATTTACTTAAATATTTAATATATCAGCAGCCCTATTAGGTGAACACCTAAATTAAAATCTAAATATTGAGCTTGAATTGCAAAATTTAACATTACTCGACGTGTTAAGATTTAATTAATAAATATTCACGCTAAATACAGCTAAAATAGGCTAATATTTAACCCTATTTTAGGCGCACCGTTTAGAGTCATCTTCTCAAAAGTAGTACTCTCCGTTCTTGTAGACTTTTCATACTGCAAATACGATTAATCACAGTAGCATCCCTAATTCTCAGGAAGCACCGGCTCACTTAGCCGCGCCAACGGATACACATTAATATCGATTTTCTTCTTGACCGAATCAATTTAGTTGTGGGTATTCAAATGGGACATTTACAGCGTTGTGTGATATATAGGAGTCATTAGAGGGGTCGGAGCTTTCCGCGTGAGTGGGTCCATAGACTCGGCCAGCTCCACGACGAATCTTACCCCTCCATCAAACTCTTTCACATTCAAAACAGCAACAGCAGCTCCTGCGGTAAAGTCAATGTCATGGCTTGTACACACGATGTTGCTCAAGTTTGCTAATGAATCAGCTGATCTTAGTCACAAAACTGTCAACGTTCATTCAACTCTCGGCCACCAGGTGTGTCGGCTTCGTAAAAAGCAGAATATACAAATGCAGGTATGAATAAGTAGTTTGATTGAAATAGTTATCAGTTAAGGACCGAACTAAATAAGACAGTTTCATTGAAATCTTGGAGAATTGGCTATCGTATAGAAGTTAAATAAATTATTTAACATAAAGTAACGATCATGATAGCGTATCAAGAGTCCGGATTCATAAACTCAAAACGTTTACAAATACCGGTTTGTTTACGTTTTCGTAGCCTGGTCCGTGATAAGACAATTTATTCTACAATTAATTTCTATTCCTACGTTTTTGCCATCAGAATCTGTAGATCATTTTTGACCGCTTCGTCGATATTGTAGGCGTTTCGCACTTGAGATGAAGTGGTTCAGTTGCTAATTTGAGACTCAGCCACTTAGCTAAGATACACTGACAACATTAAATTATTACGTTTCATTGGAAACTTCTTATATTTTTTAGTATGTATGCAGCCTGCGATTGTATAACTTAACTAACTTGCTCTACAAATATATTGCAAACAAAATAGAGTTTCGTCTAAATATACTTAGAGCTTATATTTGTCCAAGAAAAGTGGACATATTTTTCTGTTGATGCCATAATCTGTTTACTGACCATTATAATCCTTGGTCACTAAAAATACAACACGAGTAGATTAAAACTTATTACTTATTGACAGAAGAAATTAAGCTACAAAGAAATTTACGAAAAATGTCAAGATTTCCTGACTAGGAAAAGTGTGAGGTACAATAAGTTAATGGTGCAGTATTTACTTCACACTTCTGCTATTATCAAGTTCATTAGATTCGTTTGTTGTCAAGAGGATCCATTAATATTTATTTATTAAGCAGGAATCTAATCAATATCTTCACACATATTGCCTGTGAAAATGTTATTTAATAATTTGTTTTGTCTAGATTATTTGATTTATGTATAAGCAGATAGTCTTGAAAACGAATGTTATCCTCGTAGCAAACGATTGGGCCAAACAGATCTTTGCTAGGGCTAACTTAGTATTAAGCATGATATTCTTTAATTCGTGTTTTCATTGTAATCTCAACATACATTTGGAGTATGTTTTATCTATGCTACAAATCAACAGGCAATTAATTACATATTAAACAACCCTTAATCAGCCCTTACAGTCAACACTAGCTGTGTAACTCCAAGTCATATCTCATTGTCCTCACACTCAATCGGCCTAAACAATAGGGTATTACAAGTGTTTTGAAAGAATTCCATTCTTCCATCTTGATTACCGGCTTGCCCCTCAAGACGAAATTCTTTTGACGAGTCTTGCATTGATATAAATTTAATACCCGTCTGGTCCTTTGTTCGAGATGTAGATGGCTTTAAATGTCAATGTGAACAAATGAGGTGTTCGGAGTAGTGTAAATGCCACCCTACCTGGGAAATACTGTTAAAATGTACCCGCGTATTCTGTAATAAAAATGAACCCCCTTACTGCATCCGTTTTAATAAGGTTAACGGTATTGATTTTCTTAGTCGTAATATTTGATGACGTGACAGAGTGCAATATGAAAAAATATTGTATTAAGTTAGTTCCTTCTTGGTTAGGGTTACCCATGAATCTTCTGGACAAACAATTAATCAAATGAACTTTCAAGTGACGGAAGTACTAAGAATCTAGTACTAGGCCGATTCCTGCTTGCTATAGAGATTCATGAATCTTCTTGACAAAATCTACTTAAATGAACTTTCTAGTGGTAAAAGTACGACTAATTCGTACTAAGTTGAGTCTTGCTTTGGCTAAAAACAACTTAAACTGCGTTACAACTTCATAAAATTCCCGCACACTCTGGACGACGGACACCACTCCACTGATGAGCACTCGCTGACGGGGCGACACGTCCCGCCATTTGTCACGCGTGTTTTGCCGCGGTCGCGCCGCGTGGCCTCTAAAATAAATAATTACAGTTTAAGCTGGACAGCAAAAAGAGCGTGGCATGTTCCATCGGCCAGGACGTTGTCTCCTGCGGTCGCCGGACAATTAATCCAAGAGATGAGAGAAGATTGCCGCCGCGCCGTCCTACCACTGATGTGTCTATTACCACTAATGCTCCCATTAATTAACGATAGCCATTGCTGTAATGACCCGAGCGTTATTAGATTCCTGTTGACTTTTAGATTCATTTCAGCAGAGTTGGCCACCGGTAGTGAGGTGTTCGAGTGCTGCACTATAAGCACACGGTGATGATTACGCTGTTCTCCTTATACCCTACCTACCTTCTTATGACAATCCATTTCATGAAATTAAATGTAATGAGATAACTTAAAAATTACTTCAATGTAATTACAACATATTATACACAGAGATTGTAGAGGAACAAACAACTAGGTACTGATGGCTAGAAATCCTAAATATCTCTTAAACAGTAGTGAACAGTAGCGTGACGTGACCTCTAGCCGCCAGTGTCACTATACAGTAGGCTACATAGATGAAGTGATGTAATATATTACTGCATCTATGCTAGTAATCTCAATATACCAGTATTGGCTAACTTGACGGAAAGTAAGCTAACGGCCGGTACTTGCTGCCAGTTCTAGCCAACCGGCCTCGTTCTACAAACTGTATTGACAAAAGGTTGTATACACGAATCGTAGTAGTTAAAATTTCTCGTCCAATAATGTACATCTGACTATTGCTCTCGACTCATGGGGTGGGTTTTTTGTTACAGAACGAAGTGGAAGCGTCAGACAGCGGTGGGTCTGGAACTCCTCGCTGAGGCTGGTAACTACGCGGCGTTCCAGAGGTTATACGGCGGACCTCCCTACTGCTGGCCATACCCTGCGCCTGGGGGTGGTGCCGCCCCCACGGCTGCCGACCTGTACTACCGCCAAGCCGCCGTCGCCGCCGCCGCCGTCACCGCCACTACACTCCAGAAGCCGCTGGCCTACCGTCTCTACCCCGGAGTTGCGGGGCCTTCCCATCTGCCGCCTCCGCCGGGCCTGCCCACCGCCCCCGCCTACTACCATCCTCTGCCTCCGCGCTCCCCCAGCCCTGACCCCCGCTCCCCCACGCGGTCACACAGTCCTCAGAGTGTAGATGTGGAGGACGACTCCCCAGACTCGCCCCATGTCGACGTCTAACGCAGAGCGGGAGTTGAACTCAAGTGGTCACAAGTTTGGTCTTTCGAAGTTCTAGTGATGTGTTGTAAATTTCATTTAAAAATCAAACTAATAGTGAAAATTGTACCAAATTTGCGAAATTTGAGATAAACTATGACAAACACATGCTAATTCAAACTGAACTTTTAGCCAATTAAAATTAATTATAATTCAAACAAAATCCAACTTAAAGAGAATTTCATAATGAGTAGGAAAGTGAAAGAGCGTTTAAGGACTTCCAAGGCCCAAGCAGCATGATCTGCACCCTCGGACTCTATTTAGTGTCTCGTCGATGTTAGCTTTATACGACTCGTGTCTACCAGTTCGATCTTAACTTTGTAATATACATTCTTCGACCGCCACATGTACAAGTTTAACTTCTATGTGTATATTTTGTTTGTTAATCGCTTTTGTTATTTATATATAGTGTTTTATGGAATGTAAGTGGACAGCTTTCAAAGACTATAAATTAATTAGAAAGTAATATATTGTTCCGCGGAACTTTATTTGTAATATAGTTTTAAATTAGGTTAAGCGATTTCAAAATAAGTAAATACTCAGAGGATCGATTTCCTCATGTGATATTAAAAGTTTTACTTAGATGTAAGAAACCTGTGCAAATAGGAGCAAACAGTGTGAAAAAAGGTACAGGAAATGCTAAAATACATAAATCTCAAGTACAGCCTACCTCTTAATACCTCTTGTTGGTATTTCCACTGTAATAACAATGTATCCCACAACTATTAGTTGAAGAACTCAGTGGCATGGACTTAGTGCAAATCTAGAATTGTTAATATTGTAAAGAATTGATCTTATTTTTCGGTGGCACGATTTAAATTAACTGTCAATAAGTAACAAGACATTCACTTAAATGCATCAGGCTTAGAATATTATCGTACATTTTAGGTTCAGTGTCAAATGTATTTATCAATAAAAATAAAAGAAATCTGTAATTCAAATCAGCTAGGCCCTACAGTGTGAGCAAGCATTAGATGTTTGTTGCAAGCAGAAAGTGCACCAATTCAGAAATGTTGTTTTCCCAGATAGAATCTTTGTTTTTGACTACACGTTTAAGTTCAACCATAGGCATACTGCTTTAGTTTTGTAAGTTTTATTTTACTATATGAGCGCCACCGAAAATGTGTATATTATATTTCGAGCTCGTTCTAGTTCGACCGGCTTCAGTGTACAAACAGGAGCCACCCCTCCAAGCGGTTATTTATCTTAATTGAACACTACTGTAGATTCTAACTGCAGCGCAGTTTGTAATTCAGATGTTCATTTGATTTCAATCATTAACACTTAAAAAACAATAAATATTCATATTGTTATAAGCCTACTTTACACCAATAAACAAAATTGAGATAATTTGGAACTAAATAAGGGCTATTTTCTAAGACTTTCTTCCTTCCTACACAATATTTTCTTTTTGAAAAATATAAGACGACCATCCTCTTTCAGATTGAACAAACTAAATAACTTTTCAATTAGCATTACTGGTATTTGATTTAGTCAATCTCGAAGTACTTTTCTGGGATTTCAAATGGAATATCTTTGACTGAATTTTTAATTCAAAGAAACTGCAATCCAAAAGAAAGTAAATACATCCAAGCCATTAATGAACCTTATTTTTTTCTAATTCAGTTTAGGGTAAAAAATCGTTTTATTTGTGAGTTTAATTTCACTAGCGCGGAAGGGGTGGCATCGCGCAGTATTATTAGCCTAGATGCATGTCTGTATAGCGTTAGGTAAGTTAGTCATAAGTGAGCTTTGTAAATAGACATGTTAATATTCCTAACAAATACAACAAATTATGTGAGACCTGTCTTATCAGTTTTATCAACCCTCGTGAGAATCTTGCTACAAGTCCCTGATTAATATAATGTGCGTCTATTACGCACGCCCGCACGCACCGACTCGCGCGCGTGGCTTTCCCTCATTAACCAACTCATACATACATATTCATGGCATATCACTGATTGTCATTTAATACCCACGTTCGTTTACAATTCCCTGTTTTCCCACTCTGCTGTGTTAATTTGGCGAAACGTTGGAAACAGTTTTGAAACTATTTCCCAATTTCTCCCCGTGTTTGAGATGATATCATGAAAATCATGCAACGTTTGGTTTTCTGATTAGTGAAATGAGAGAATGGGAAAATGTAACCTAAAGTAAATTAGTCGCAATCGTTCATTGACTTTTGAAAAGGAAGACTAAAGTGAAATTCCTTTGGGGCTCTGCCCCAGTGGCCTTTAAAGTTCCCTCCCCATGTATTCTGATGAGAAAAGTTAGGCAAGTTGCCTAAATCCACATTATTTCACTACATTATTATCGCCCAAGTTTAGCATCTAAAAGCAAATTTCGCTAATGTAGCATTTTAAAGAGACTAGAAAAATATGCCTATACAGATTATGTGTCTGTACTTTACCTAGACATATTGATTGAGTCTCCCTTCTAGGTAAACAAATAAAAGTAAAAAGTATAAGCAATTTCTTCAGTTAATATATAACTAACAATAGTATTTCGGTTAGATACAAATTCTGTAATATTATATAAACTAGCGGTTGTCCAGTATTCGAAAACTCGACCAAAAGTATGTAATATACAGACTTTTCTATTTTCACCCTAAGCTGTAAATAAAACATGTGATTGGAAATTCTTCCAATTGTTTTGATTTTCTGTTTATATTGCGTTTACATCATCAGCATGGCAACCCATAAGGTCTATGTTAACTTGATTTGCTTATTTTTGAGCCTATTTTAATTTATGAAGGGATTCTGCACAACTACAGGCAAATATCTTTCTAACAGTATGCGTAGATTTTCCCTGCGATGCACACGAGCTGAGAAAAAGGTTTTAAAGAAACACGCTTGCCTATTAATATATAGATTGGTTTTTCATACAACTAAGTTCTGAACAAACAAGCAGAGATTTTCTCCAACTAAGTCGTGGAATTCCCTTATAAATATGGTAAAAGGCGAAACGTAATCAATGGATGTGTAAATGGTTACAAATCTAAGAGCCCCCCCCCCCCCTTAGTATGACATAAAATTCCGTAAAGATATAATCCAAACATAATGGGGCAACATTATGGCAAATGGGGCACATGGTAATTTATACACAGTTGTTAATTTTGTTAGAAGATTAAAGCTGGATTATAGATTTAAAACTAATTCGTCCACTAAAAGAAAAACTCTTTTCAGGTAAAGGTTGTGTTTATATTTTCATAAAATAACCAAACAAATGGCTTGAATAAATGAAAAACCGTACCTATTTCCATGTGATTTTAATGTGACTACTTTTGAGCGAAGCGAGCAAGCTCTTTGGAAAGTCCTTGTGCAAACTTCGTAATTAAATCATGCAATAACGACTGAACATATTGAACATAGCTTACCAGGGTTATTTCGACAAACAGTAGGAATGTTATTCAACAAACAAATTTCAATTTGACAATGTCTGTACTATTTAAAACTAACATAAGTCTTTCCAATCTTTGACATTAGCCTTATGGCTATGATGGTTACGAGATATCAACGTAGATGTAAACAAAGAATCATAGTACAAGCTTCTTAGCAAACTAATATACAGGGTGGCTGAAAAGTAACTTGCACCCCCCCTTAGCTTTTCAACCATTTGAGATATTTGAAATCTGTTTGCGGCAACCTTCTTAGATATGAGGGGCTACAATAATTATGGTCAATTTTGAAAATTTTGCCCTTAGGGGTAAGGGGGGTAGGGGGTAGCTCAAAATTTTCAAATGACAAGTATAGTCAAGTTTGGTATCATTTTACAAGTCTTGACGAAACATAAACATTGACATAAAGAAAACCAAAATCGGCTCACTAATAACAAAATGGCGCCCTAAAACGTTTCAAATCCAAATAACTATGATTGTGGCAAAAAAAAATTAACTTGCACCCTCTTTAACCTTTTGACTATTTGAGATATTTGAAATCGGTTTGCGGCAACTTGTTTGAATATGAAGGGCTACAATAATTATGGTCAGTTTTGCAAATTTTGCCCTTAGGGGTAGTGGGGGTAGTGGGTAGCTCAAAATCTTCAAATAGCAAGTATTGTCAAGTTTGGTATCTTTTTGTAGGTCTTGACGAAACATAACAATTAACATAAAGAAAATAGAAATCGGACCATTAATGACAAAATGGCAGTTCAAAATTACTTTAAATAACCATTGTCTCAATCAGTTTTAGCTGCCATTTTGTTATTAATGGTCAGATTTCTATTTTCTTTATGTTAATTGTCATGATTCGTCAAGACCTACAAAATGATACCAAACTCGACTATACTTGCTATTTGAACATTTTGAGCTACCCCCTACCCCCACTACCTCTAAGGGCAAAGTTTTCAAAATTGACCATAATTATTGTAGCCCTTCATATCCAAACAAGTTGCCGCAAACCGATTTCAAATATCAAAAATAGTTAAAAAGTTAAAGAGGGTGCAAGTTAATTTTTTTGCCACCCTCAAGGTTATTTGGATTTGAAACGTTTTAGGGCACCATTTTGTTATTAGTGAGCCGGTTTTGGTTTTCTTTATGCCAATGTTTATGTTTTGTCAAGACCTGTAAAATGATACCAAACTCGACTATACTTGTCATTTGAAAATTTTGAGCTACCCCCTACCCCCGCTACCCCTAAGGGTAAAATTTTCAAAATTGACCATAATTATTGTAGCCCTTCATATCTAAGAAGGTTGCCACAAACCAATTTCAAATATCTCAAATGGTTGCAAAGTTAAGGGGGGGTGCAAGTTACTTTTGAGCCACCCTGTAGATCTAAATACAGTAAAAAGAAAAAAAACATTCTGGTAGAAACAATTGATCAAAGAATATAGGCTACAGAAAGTATTACAGGGTATTATAGAAATGACACTGATTAATAGGTTCAGTATTTTACAGATTTTTTCATAAAAAAAACTTATTTTATTGAAAATGTTATTTTGACATATTTTGGTTCCCCATTAAGTTCCATATCTAAACAACATAAAATATAAGACCGTACGATTTTTATTTACCTAAAAATAGTTAAAGTTAATAATGTATGGCGATTTTTTCAACCTTTGTTTGTTTTGTTTTGAGTATTCTAGGAATACAATTTGACTAAAATTTTGCATTTCATAAATAGTTATTTTCATCTATACATAGCCTAGTTATTCATACAGAAATCTATACATCATTGTATATTGTTATCTTATATTGGCTATTTATTTAATTTAAATGGGCGGGGGCACAGCTACTTTCAAACAAAGGTCACAGCTGATTCTGTGGATTCCCGAAAGTTGTATTTTTTACTCTAGATATTACACAACTGAGATTCTAGAAGCTATAGAGAGAAGATTTTTTGTTCATTTTGTTCAGCTTGTTCAATTCTATGATCAATTCAATTCTATGATGGATTTGAAGAAACCCCTAATGAAACATAAAACCTAGTAAAACATTAAAAATGTTATAGGACCATTAATTGTTGTATTCAAACAAAACCCATCCTACAGATTATAGAGCATGCTTTAAGAAACGCTTAGAAAAAAAGTTATCAATTATCTTTTATGGGTTTCAATCCGCCCATGATCTAGTAAACCCTTGTAAAACGTGAACAATAAAATCACCCCCCCCCCTCACACACAGGGGGTGAAAAAATATTGACCCATTTCTCTTCGTTTCATGTTATTCGTCTTATTTAACGTTTTATCAAACAGACAAACCTTAATGTCTCAACTTAATCGTTCTGTAACAAAACTTAAGCATTTTGAACACCGATAATTGGTAGAGGTAAATGAATTCAAATACCGCAGGGGCAATAAAACATTACGCAGGGGGATTATTGTTATTTACTTTACAATTAATTTAATTAATTTACTTTACTTTACGTTAATTGTTATTTACAACAATAATTAGTGTTATTTAATCAGTGCTTGTATAATTTGTAACACTTACATTGTTATTTATTTATATTTTAATATAATATATTTAGCAGATACCCAAATGGCGGCATGAGAGTATTTAATGCATGATGCTAGACTCAAAATATGTTTTAATTTATTGTATTTATTTGTTCTAACTGGCCGCTCTACTTGAAAAGCGGCCAGTCAATTTCCAAATACTGTCAATGCGCGTAATTAGTTGTACTCAATGGAAATAAATTCATTTATTCGTTATTCATTTATTCAATATATTATAATTCATTTTCAGAAATGATTATAAATCAAAATATCCGTATTAGTACAGTACGTTTCATAAGTGTAATGTATT